AAAAAATACACATTTCTTCGTCATTTAATTGACAAAACGGCTTCGGCCGCCATTTTGAAAATCGCTTAGGTGATTATCGCGTAATAATCACCTCAACATCAACCAATCAGCGTGGAGAATTTTCAATAATTAATTATGTAATTATACTAAATATATATCAATATATATATATATATATATATATCAACAGCCAGCCCCCAAAAATCTTCATTTATAAATATCAAGAAAAAGCAAATACGAAAACTTCAATATAAAATAATAATTTTTACGTTTCGGGGACAAGGCCCTTTTCAGAAAAACGATATATCATCTCCGTCTCTTGCTTAAATAGTCTAACATTTGCATATACATAAATTAATTAAACCTCTTCCCTTAAATTAAGCGCACATGGCACATAACTATTAAGTTTCTCAATCCAAAATGAATGACCATTTTTGAGGGAGGGACATTCAGGTCTAAGTGATTTTGTAGTGCAGGTTATTGACGTCACGGACGTTGAGAGGGAGAGCTTTTGGATTGAGAAACGTAATAGTTATGTGCCACGTGGGCTTAATTTAAGGGAAGAGGTTTAATTAATTTATGTATATGCAAATGTTAGAGTATTTAAGCAAAAGACGGAGATGAGATAGCGTTTTTCTGAAGAAGGGGCTTGTCCACGAAACGTAAAAATTATTACTTTATGAAATCTGCTGTGTTGGTGTAATGTACTCAGGTGAATAAGATGTTTGTGTGATGTTACTCTGAGTGTATATCCATGCACACCGGGCAGGCTTGAAAAATATGCCTGCATGGCCACGGCGGGATTCGAACCTACGACCTTTGGAATACTAGCCCAATGCTCTTCCAACTGAGCTACGCGGTCAGGTCGGTTCGAATATGCGATATGTCGGAACTGAGTCCAGTTCCTTCGATATCAGTGTAATATGTAGTTCCTTCGATATCAGTGTAGTGGGCTAGAATTCCAAAGGTCGTAGGTTTGAATCCCGCCGTGGCCAGGCATATTTTTCAAGCCTGAGTGTGGATATACACTCAGAGTAACATCACACAAACATCTTATTCCCCTGAGTACATTACACCAACACAGCAGATTTCATGATTATTAGATTACACTGATATCGAGTCGAAGGAACTAGACTCAGTTCCGAAATATCGCATACTCGAACCGACTTGACCGCGTAGCTCAGACAGTTGGAAGAGCAGTGGGCTAGTATTCCAAAGGTCGTAGGTGCAAATCCCGCCGTGGCCAGGCATATTTTTCAAGCCTGCCCGGTGTGGATATACACTCAGAGTAACATCACACAAACATCTTATGCACCTGAGTACATTACACCAACACAGCAGATTTCATGATTATTAGATTAC